TAGACTGGGGGGGGGGGGGGGGCTGGAGCACCTTCGTCGGGATAGAACAGCTCTGCCGTGGTAAGAAAGAACGCCGTATGAACATCGAATTTTGCCAAATTTACTCTCAGAAAACATTAATTGTTGAGAAAAGTTATGAATTTTTTTTTCTCAAATGTTCCGACGCTTCATATCAATTTCGCACGAAATTCTTTAAAACTGTGGAAAGAAAATACCAACTTTTCTGAAAATTCATTGTTCGTGAGAGGAGGTTTAGCAACGTCTTGGGGCTGATACGACGTTTTTTCTGAGCACGGCAGATTACCTCTGCCGTGCTAAGGAGGAGCGCTGTAAGACCCTTCGAACGTTGCCAAAATTTCTGTTTCATCGTCAAAAAATTTTGCTTCGCGGCGAATAATTGGGACTTGATCGGTTCGCGGTTGATTTCTGATGAGAGATTCAAAATGCGCTCAGTCGTTTTCTCGTCAGAGCCAAAAAGCCGGTCTTTGGGTACCCACTTAAGGCTAAATGATTTAGCGGGGAAAATTACGTTTCGCAAAAATAAGATGTGTACAATTTCTTCTTTCCCTGCAAATATACCCGAAGAGGAATACAAAATCCGTTCAGTCTGCGTGTCCCACACTTTATTGAACACGGAAAAATTACTGGGGTAAAGGTGAAACAGTTGGGTAATATTATCAAAACACAGAAATATTTTTGGGAATTTTTCGTGATCTCTAACTAGATAGAAAATTGCAACTTTAACTAATGCAATTACTTTTCATTTGCTCTCTTCATTATAGAAAAGAAGCATACAAAATGTATACGGAAACAGAATGCCTGATGCAAAGCAGTCTTGAGACGGAGCTTTTTCTGTCATTTCAGTGGTTGTTACACCTCACTAAACAAACACAACCTCTGTCACAAGAAGCCTTATTGATGTCGTTACTTCCTTTCGAAAGTATATGGTAGTTACGTAGCCTTAATGGAAATCAATCCCATGACGAATAATACATTTATAGTGATATCCCTCAATCTGTTGAAAAAAAATCTGCTTCGTGCCCGTGCGGTATTTTAATGCGCAGTGCCGAATTTATGAATATTTATCCCTGATGCGATAGATTCAAGGACCGCGTAAGGGGAGGTTTGAGGGACATCCTGAAGCTAACAAAGTCGAACAATGTTTTTAAAAATTTAGGGCCCCTCTCTTGGCATCAGTAAATGTAGTACTTTTCATTACTTTTTTCATTAGAAATAAAACGGAAAATTGAAACGTACTTTTCTGCCAGCAGTGATTCTTCCTATATTTTTACATTTCAATGGTCGAATTCGATAGAATTTAAAATAATTATCACCTCCAAGTTTCTAAAATTGCATCCACTATGTTGCCTACTAACGACTGAGCCAAGCTCATCAGAATAAATGTTCCCAATACTAAAAATCAGAACGAAGTGAGAATTACCGACTCAACTGTAAAGATTCGTACTTACGCAAAAGGATACTTTTCAGATTGCGACAATGAAATATGACCAATAAAGTTCGAACGTTACCTCAACTTGTGATGCTAGAGAAAAATCAAATAAGGCCCAACATTGAGGTCGATATCTGCCTGAGGTCTATCGAATAGATAACTATTCGCGCTCCGCGGTAGGTTTGTTGCCTATGGAACAAAATTGAAGGCGTACTTTAAATGGAAGAAACTTATATCAATACGTTTATCGGAGCAATCAAACTGCCTCCATTTAAACCTATGCTAGATAATCAACTCTTGTCATCTTGTCGGAGCACCTGGCCCCTCCAAGAATCGATACATTTCCTTATAGGTTTAAATGGTGAAAAAACAATGTTGGCAATTCGCTGGGTCCGCCAATGCAGACCTCCGCGATTAGATTTTGTGAAAAGGATTGAAATTATGTTTCCTTATTTACACTTCGACCAGAGATATCCAGGCGTCTTGTTTCGCAATTTTTCTCGCGATGCACAACTATTTTGACTCGAGTAAATGGCCTCCGCTCACATCTGCGATGCTTCACCTTGCCGAGATATTCGGTGGGGTTAACCTAATTTTAATGGTATGTGCAAGGTGGCGTTGAGAAGTGTCATTTTCATCGCGCGAAGTTCAATGCAAACACAATCGGAATTAAGGTTATGGATGTCAGGAACAGTTACTTCGTCGCCTACCTGACAGAAAGGCGTAACTACCCTCTGCAATGAACCTTGTCCTCCATACTATTCAATGCTTTTCCGGGCTCATCTCATTGTGTAGTTACGCTCTTATATCAGCCAAGCGACGACTTGTCGCGGAGACTTTGCATTGATCGCGATTTCGGCGGCTTAATCCGACAGTCGTGTTTCATTTACGGGCATCTAATCCGCCAAGTCACCGTTGCAAAATTTTAGCGTGAATATGCAATGCACTGCACTCGGTGAAAACCAGGACGGAATCACTTCATTGCATAATTTCTTTCGGACCTTAGATCTGCCTCAGGGTTACGAATTTGTGGGGCATGGAAGTTGAGTCCTTTGCAACTTGACGTCTTATGTAACCAGAGGGGTAGATTTTTAAGTACGTCTACACGGAGATTCACTGGGAAAAAAAAACACATTGGATCTAGATTCGAGACTCTTGAAAACATTGACAAGAAAAAATGCGCTTGATTCAATCGGAGTTTTGCTTGAATCAAAACGAAATCCGCTTAAATTAAGAGGCTTGGTTCTTGATTTAAGCTAGATTCTGATTGAATCAAGAGTACTTTTTCTTGTCGATGTTTTTAAGAGTCTGAACTCTAGATCCAATGTGTTTTTTTTTCCAGTGTTAAAATAAGGGTCTCCTACGGTGCTTTACACCGAAATCTATGCACGCCGTAGAATCGTGAATTCAGTA